CCCACCTCCGGTCCACGTTTTCCTGTCTTTCCCCCTTTTCTCACTCTTTATGGTAAAAAAAAGTTATTTACCGTCCCGTGTCACTCATAAAATATTGTACCATCCCATACCAAGTTACCAACTACTCCTGTTACGTCTAAAAAAACAGGAGTAGTACGCACTAAAAAAACTACATCTGTATACACGTCTAGGCAAGCTCTATGAGGGTCATGAGATGAAATAAAAAAAACATGCACTAAAGCAGAAGCAACATAAGCATCACGTAAAGAAAATAAATTAGTATGAAGCTTATTAGTTGCTATTATCCAAAAAATACATTTGCTAGTAGCATGCGGTCGAAAAATCAATTGATAAGACAAAAGGTATAACTCATCAACCTATCAAACCATGCTGTCTTCTATGGTTTAACCTAGAGTGTATTTACGGTACTCTCTATTACTAGCATAAACTGATCAAGACCTTCACTATCATTCTTCATCCAACGATTTATATCTAATTATTGTAACCATTGAAATAATGATAGTAGAAAATATCGTATTCTTAGGGAATATTTTTTATTTTTTAATCTTTTAATTTTTAATTTTAAAAATAAACCCATCTAAAATTTATTTTCAAGATTTGAACCTTTTGATCATGCCAACCATGCTGGCGTGGCAAAATAATATTGTCAGGCCGCTCCCATTGGCATGACAAGTTATTTGGCCACGCTCGCTAGCATGGTAGGACAAAACTATCACGCCCGCTGCAGGTGGCGTGCTAGTGTTGTTTTGTCACGCTAGATGGGCTGGCGTGGCCAAAAGATTCAGATTTTGAAAATATGTTTTGAAATGGTTTAGTTTTAAAATTAAAAATTAAAAAGGTTCAGAAAATAAAAAAAATTCTTAGACATGGCGTGTACGGGAATTTGAATTTGGAGATTTAAGATGGAGACATGCAGACCCATCATTAATTTAACCTTCAGCTTATAACTATAAGCGAAAATTTGAATTTTAAATCTCAATTTTAAGTTGATTCTGAGTATTTTGTTCATTTTTCAGAGCTTGCTTAAAAGTTTTACCATGAATTATTTTTAATCATTAATAAAGTCATTTCGCTTGTAATAAGTATAAAGGAAACGATATTGCTGGTTTTGGAGCCGATTCCTACTGCTAGGTACGACCAACCTTCTGGTTTCTTGTCTTGTTTAATTTTATTATTTGCTCTCTAAACTGACAATTCTGCCATATATTGTGCTGAAACATGCATATATTGTGCTGAAAGCGAAGACGAAGTACCCCTTGTTGCCCCTTGTCTCTGGACTCTGGTTTCTCCTTCTAGACCAAGGCCGAGTTTAGTTCCAAACTTTTTTTTCAAATTTCTAACTTTTTTATCACATTAAAACTTTTCTACACACACAAACTTTTAACTTTTTCGTCACATCGTTTCAATTTCAACCAAACTTTTATTTTTGGCATGAACTGAACACATCCCAAAGTAGAGAGCCCTGTTTCAAGGCGCAGCCAACTGTTGCAGATCCACTTTCACCACGCCGTGGCCTGTCTGTCCCCCATGCTACAACTACAATTGCACATTGGCGCGCAAATGCCACGCATACCATGCAGCATCAGTGAGGAATTGGCAAGACAAAAAAGGCAAACGGCATGACTCAACACAGTATCAGGCTCGTTGCCTTCATGCTTTACCAGCTTTAACATAGACCGTGCTTTGCTATATTAAGTGGACTGTCAATCAAACGAAGCGTAGGAACCATCATACCAAGAAAAATTAGTACAAGTTCATAAATGCACGAGAAACAATAGCTTTATGGAAGCTAGTGAGTTTGAAATATTTGAGGAAACCAATTTAATGATCGCAAAGATTTATGTAGTTAGATATTGTAATAACGACAGCGCAGTCGTTATATATTACGGATGGTTCCCGCGTTAATGATATTTGTGTTTTTTCCATATCACCAATATTATTATTTCCATACATGATTGTCCCTGTAAATCGATTGTTTGATATTATGGATATGTTAGATATATTTTTTATATAATTTGTAATATATTATAGCACCAATAAAGTTGTTTTGTGTTTAATAAAAATAAACATTATAAATAAATGGTATATATTTGCTAACGTGTATTGTGGTATATATATAGGTTCTCAAATTAAATTCCCACATGTTCTAAAAAATAAATTCCAAGACATTTTACTTTTCTCTAACCAGCATTTGTAGGTTGGTAGAACCCATAGAAAAAAAAGTATTTAACTTAGATATCCTACCCGATCAATCGCCCGAATGGGGTGCACAGAATGGTGCTGCGAGAGGAATCACATGGCCGGTGTACATGTGGTGGCTTTTACTATCCGCCTTCCCTCTACAGCTCTGCGATGATTTGCCTACTCTGCTCAGGCGCCATTGAGCAAAACCAATTGCTAATACGGTTTGGCAGTTAAAAGAAGAAAGACAGACACCATTGAGCAAAACCAATTGAGTTAAAAGAAGAAAGAAAGCACGGTTCCTTACAATATCATACTCATTTATTGCTTTGTATGCATCATGCCAAACGAGTGACCTCTCGCTGATTGATCAGCACTATAAATTAAACAACATGGTTGCTGAGATGAATAGAATATGGTAATGCAATGATGGTAGAGGAAAAAAAGTGAGATGTTTGAGCAAAGCAACATATATGTTTACTTACTTTACCCATCGCAAAATCTAACTAAAAATAATGGTGATGGTGTAGGAACCAGGTTTTGATGAATGAATTTTATATTTGCTTTTATAAACAGGATGTGCTCCCGCGTTACCGACTCAGACATAATCCATAAATAACACCATTAGTATCCATAAACGACCTAACAAACAAATAAAAGATCATAGAATCTATTGTGCATAATGTGACAGAATTTGTACCAGATATGAGAATTCAAATAAAAGTTTTGCACAATAGAAGGAATTGTCACCTATCCTTATAACTAATCAAGTATCACTCGAAGATGTTGATGTGACTTTTTTCCATGATTTCCATAATCCGTTCGCGGTCTATTAGACAATTAATAAATCAATTCCTTACACTCCACAACATTAATATCCATCCTGCCACAACATTAGAGGAGAATATCCATCCTGGGGGAGAATATCCATCTAACATAAGTAGATGATGGACACATTAGGATGAAATCTTTTTATTAAATCTGTTCTCGGATACAATTACCCAAACGTCTCAGGTCTCACCCCACCCCTACACGTTTATATGAAAGAAGATAAATCTATCTATACTTTGTTTTGGATATGCCCACGAGACCACAAGAAACATATCTCCTATAGATTTGTTTTACAGCACTCTTCCATGATCTAACCGTGATCAACGAATGACTCGTCGAAACTCCTACCAAAACCCAATAGTTGAGAAAAAGACGAGGAGGAAAAGTACATAGTGTCGCTCATACATTGTATGTTGTTGCCTCGTTAAAAACCTTATGTCTAAAACAATAATTCCATGCTCTCAAGGAAAATTTTTAGGCATTCAGCTTCGGATATCCTGCATAATCAATCACATACAGATAAGTTAGCTAACTATGACCTGCAGGATGACGACACTTACACTCGGTGCCATCTCTTTGTCAACAAAGTCACATGTAGAGTAAGAGCACGTCAGGCGACCATCTGTCATTATAAAAGTTAGTCGATATAGCAAAACGACGACTAACCTTCTTGATCGCTTCAGTCATTGATCACCCAAGACACACCGGATGACGACACAGGAACACACGATATTTGTTAACGAAGTTCAGCCAAAGCCTACATCTCCGAGGCTTTGATTATGGGCGCTCCTCCCCAATCAATATATCTCCTAGCCACTACAAATCAATGGCCACGCGGCCATCATCTCCCTGCGTGTCTACGCTACATTGTAGTCGCCATGGTCACCACCTCCTCTCCATTTAAGAGAGATGTCGAGTTACAGAGTCCAACTCTAACTCCACCCCCTACCACCTATTACAACCCCAAGTCTAACTATAACCAAAATAGAACTAGTATATTCAACACCTATTCTAACATCTGTGTTGGATAGTATATGGTAATATCTGCAGATAGTAGTATCGAGGTTAAACTCAACTTCATTTGTGAGATATAAAATTGAGAAACATAAAAAAAAAAGAAAACAACAACAGGAATAGTGTTATTAATTAATTTCATACTTCATTAATGAAGTTGAGTTTAGTCGTGAAATAGTTTCGTATGGTTATTTATTTACATATTACCTACATGTATGATTTTTTTTGAGATTTTTTAGAACTTATAAAAAAGTTTTACCCAAGATGTGATTTTTACCAAATACTTTTTCCAGCTTATCATTGTCTATAAAACTATTAAGCCTGTAATGATATGTAGTAGCCAACTAGAATGCATTACAACAGCAGGGCAGTGAAATGAATGCAGAGAAAACTCCAAGAGAAGTTTGGTGGGCTATTCTGTTATTACTAGTATTATTTTGCAGTTTTTTTAGACATTTCATTACTCATGATCCGAGATATCATCTGGAATATCAACCAGTACTAGTTCAGACTGAGCCAGGCAAACAGTCCCAAGCTGAGCTAACACATGAGCTACTCTGTTACATTCTAGGCATAAGTCTAACCTGAATATTGACAAAATTTGTTACCAACAGTTGTTCAAGGGCCAAGCCACCGCGAATGAAGAGATCGTAGTCTGTAGATATTACTACTTGTTTAACCATTGCCGCATCAGTTTCCAGGGAAACTCTCCCAATTCCCAGGTGTGCCGCTGCTAGAGAATTTTGTAGGGTACTAGAGGTACCAATGGGATTGACAGGAACATATATTTCTCGAACAGTAAAATTTTGTAATCTTTGTTGGTGTTTTTGCAACATTTATAACATGTTCACTGTTTTTCAAATGGTACGGAAACCCTCTTCCATCTCCAAACATAAACAGGAAGCTTTCTATATGAAATTAAGTCTAATCGGATAGTGAAATATGCTCAATTGTTACATGACTTCTGAGTATGCTACTCAAAAGTAAACCTTTGTATGGAATATCTGCAATTCTTGTGTCCCTCCTCACTAAGTTATCAAATAAAATCATGTTTCAAATTGTCCTACTGGCAACTGGCAAGCCTGTAAGTGTCAATTTAATTTACACAACTGTAACTAAAATTCGAGGTACTAAAACATCCTCATTCACTACAGTCTACAATAAACCTCTGAAAAACGAATAAGAGTATATAGCACAACCACACAAGATCCAAATCACATTGTGAACCGAAATGCAAAGTGGGTTGTTGGAGCCATGGGAGTCCAGTTTTTTGCATGCGATTTGTGCAAAGCAGCAGAGGAATATTTGTATGTTCAGAGTTCGTCAGACCATATAAACTTCATCATCTGGGTCTTCGTCTCCTACAAGTATGAGACCCTCGACGTGGACTGGAAACATACACCTCGTGAACTGGCAGCCGGTGGTTACCACGCCGGACGGCGCGTCGACGATGTCGTAGGCGTGGTGCTTCTTCAGGACTCCAATCACACTAGCAGTGTCCCCTTCCCTGATGAACCTGAAGAATTTGTTGTGATCCCCAATGAAAAAATTGTGTGATGCAAATGTCAATGCAAGTTTGCGGGCACAGCTTTTTTGTGATCTGAACTTTACATGCAGCACAGGAATAGTGTTATGCGGATGAAATCTCACGACCTTAGTCAGTAATTTACCGTTGAGTTATATATAATATGGAATAGTATCAGTTGTTTTCAAACATAGAGATAATCTGTTAACACCGGAGATGAATGGCATGTTGAGATTTGTATGCTCAGATATTTAAGGAAATCAAACAAACAAATTCTTGATAGAATATAGAAATACCTCTAACCACCGCCGTTGATAGACCCCTTATGATTTTTTTCTTCGTTTTTTCAGTTCCAACCGTAACTATCATGTATTTTAACCACGACCGTTCGAGTCACCTATGATTCTTCTCTTTTTTTTCAGTTCAAACCGTCACTATCATATATTTTATATCCTGATGTTGATTACAATGATTTAATTTACGTTTGAGGTATTTTTCAATTTTCAAAAACTACATACTGTAAATAAAACCTTACTATGGTGTAGAATTTTATTTGAAAATTTCAAAAATTCAACCTATAAAATAGGTTTATGATGTTCAAATTGACGGGTTTTTTTCATTGTCATTCTCTAAAGCATCAGCACCTTACCCTTCTTTGACATGCACAGTGCCATCACACGATAAATCATTGCTTGCCATCCAGCTTTTGAGGTTCCTTGATGCTCCCTTCCTCTCGCCATCTAAGCTGTCCGTCTTCTGCTTAATCATCCAGGTGATCTTGCCACCCTCGCCAGCTCTCACGTAGAACCTCTTTCCAGTGTTCCTGTCAGAGATGTAGAAATTCGCCGTCCGTGTCTGCAAATTGCAAGTAAAATCAATGAGAAACCTCAGTGCATCACCGCCATATACATACACTATTCACAACCCTACCCAAAACCATTTCTAAAACTGATGAACTGACAGAAAATCATGCAGAACTCTGCTAGCTCTAACCTCAGAGTGTGTCTGTTGCCACCGGAAGCAGCATCCACGGCGCTCATACAGCTGCACAGACGTGAAGATGCACCGGGCTGCGTCGTGGAAGCGTGCCCCGAGAGGTTGGTGGCCGCAGGTGACTTGCTGCGTGATATAGTCATGTTTTAGCTTAAACTTTTAAGTAAGCCATATATATATGAACAATGCAACTAAATAGTCTTCATTACAAATTCGTAGTAGACCATGCCAACAAGTTTCAACATTCCATCAATAAAGATCCAGACTAATTTCAGCAATAAGCTTATATGCACACATGCTGTTTTTTTATCTATTTATTTTAGTTTTTTATTTATTTTGCAAAACAGGGTGGAACGGTGGTAAGATGTCTAAGGCAAACTTGGTGAAGCAAAAGTGGTTTTGTACCATGCTTTCCACAAGGAATCCATTGACCACAGCGCATGGAAGTTTAAGCCATTTTGACATTGGTTGACATTCACGCATAACCAAATGCAAGGAAAAATTTGGACCTGTGGATTAACCTAACAGAAGGCGCAGCAAACAGAAAATAACGGGGCCAAAAGGCATGACTCGTTACACTATCAGAACTTCCATGGTATACCAGCTTAACATGTCCCAGCATGAGCTCTCTCTTATTATGTTATTCAGCACTATAAATTAATTGATCCAGTCATCGAGAATTCGTATAGGCATCAGGACATGTATGGTTTGGGAGCAACAACAGGGAGATGCATTTTATGGTTTCTGTGGAGTAGCGGGGAGGAAATAAAGAAATATTGGTTTGGGAGAAATAGCGGTTAGAAAATAAAAAGATAAGATATTTGAGTAAACCAATTTATACTCTCACATATTTGCTATGTTAAGAGATGTGGAGGAGAACGCTGGTGATGATATAGTAAGAGTTTTACATGTGAAAATTAGAATTTGGCTGGTATTGATACAGTAAGAGTTTTACATGTGAAAAATAAAATTTGTTTCAGCTGGTACTACTCTCAAGATTGAGAGGTGTGGAAGTTCATATATTATATATTAGAAAGATCAGGAAATATATGTATAGGTGGTTACTTCTTTTCTTACATAATTTGATTTTCTGTATTCTTCCAAAATCGAAAACAAATATATATGCATATATAGACCTATAATAAAATGAATATGAAACGGTAATATAATGGAAATGAATTTTATGGCCCACCAGTTCCAAACATGATAAAGTGATCTCCGAGATGTCAGTGGCCACAAGTGATTTCTCCGTGATAGTCATCTTTCAGCTTAAACTTTTAAGTACACTAGACGAACAATGCAAATTTTAAATGACTAAATGAGTAATATTCGTTACACGTTCGTTGGAGAGCATACCAACAAGTCTCGAGATGACATATCAACAAAAACATGCCGAGTAGTTTCACCAATATGTACACATGCAGTGGTAGTCTTTTCAATCTTCCCCCTACAAATTAATTTCGTAAGAAAAAACTCTCCACAAGTCTATTTTCTTTTCAACTCTCCCCCATGTCTAGTTTTTAGTCATTTTCGTCGTGCTCCTTAGCGATTTTTCACATTCTATAGACCTCCAGCATGGTGGGGGAAATTGCACCTATGTTCTCTCTTATTGGACATGAGATTTAATACACCTTATCTAACATTATGTGGTAATCATCGTGTTTTATCGCTGTATATTAGATGAAATTAAAGCATAGAAAATCGAAAGCAAAAAGGAATAGTATCTTTGGTGGCAAGGGACAACTTACCTTAACCACAATGAAGGCCCACAGGGCACGAGAAAATGCCAAAACTAGATAGAGGTGGAAAGTTGAAAGAGAAAATGAACTTGTGGGAGTGTTACGTATTGCGGTGAGAAGGGGATTGGAAAGACCACTGACTTGTTGGGGTTATTTGGATTCTTCCTGTTTTATTTGTTTGTTGTTGCTTGCAGAGCAATACTTCCTCTAGTTCTATAATTTTTGATGTTTTGGATATGGTTGAAGTCAAACTTTATAACTTTGATTATCAATAATTTTTAAAATATTTAGTTTAAAGGTATCAGAACAACATATATAGATTCGTCTTACAAAGTACTATAATAAAAATAAAAAATATATTTATTTATTGTATATATTATAGTAGAAAGCAAATAGTCAAAAGATATATTTTGGTGACCGTATCATTGTTCAAAATATCAAGAATTATAGAATTGAAAATAGTAGTAGTAATAAGATAGATAGCAAAGCAAACTTAGGTGAAGCAAAAGTGGTTTGGTACCATGCCTTCCACAAGGAAGCCATTGACCACAGCGCATGGGAGTTTAAAGCCATTTTGACATTGGTTGACATCCTCTGACGCATAACCAAATGCAAGCAACAATTTGGGCCTGTGGATTAAGCTAAGCCGAATGCAAGCAACACAGCATACCGGCGACTTCAGCAACGCCCGCAAACGCCGCATCAGCTTCCAAATTATTTAATTTAATTTGCAACGGCAAACGTTTCCCAATACGAAAATAATTAACACGACCATGCGGTTCTTCTAAAAAATAATGCGGTTTTTTTCGATATGGATGGACACTGACAGAGAGATGTTGCATTCGGAACGATAGAATTGCTGCAAGCTGAACAGTTAATTTGATTTGATTTGATTTGATTTTGATGAGAAGATGAGTAGTAGATGCATGGCAAGGTTGCTCACCCCGGTGATCTTGACGAGCTCGCCGATGGGCATGTCGCTCTGGTCGAACACCGTGTCGGGCAGCCGCCGGAAGAACCTCTCCGCCTCGGCGTCGCGCCGGCGCACGTTCCACGCGAACGCCGCCGCGACGGCGGCCACCGCGCCGCCCGCCGCCGAGAGCACCTCCCACCGGTGCCACGCCACGAGGAAGAACGCCCCGGCGCCGAGCCCCGCCGTGGCGGCCACGCTCGCCGCCACGTAGCACGCGACCGACACGCCCAGCCTCGCCCGCCCGCGCGCCGCCTCCGGCGCCGCCGCGGCCTCCTCCCGCCTCCGGCTCGACTTCCTCCACGACCCCGCCGGCGACTGCTGCGTCTGCGGCGGCGGCGGCGGCGGCGACGGCCCGACGAGCAGCCCCGAGTGCGAGAGCTGCGACAGCGGGCCGGACGCCGGCGACGGCAGCAACGGCAGGGGCCTCGGCAGCGGCCCCGAGCTCCGCCGCGACGACGCCGGCGACACCCCCGCGCCGCCGATGTCGAACATCCGCCCCAGCTCCCCCGACCTCGACACGTCCCCGCCGGTGTACGGCGGCGTCGCCACCGACCCCGACGACAGCTGCCGCCGCTCCTTCCCCCTGTCCGGCGCCGGCCCGGACACGTACATCCCACTCCCAATCTTGTGCATCGCCGATCCCAACACGATCAAGAATTCAAGAAGAAGAAGAAGAAGAAGAGGAATCGTAAGCAGCAGCGAGAGGAAGAAGACGAAGCAGAGGAAGAGGAGTAGTGCTGCTTTAGCTCGCAACGTGATGTCGTGATCAACTTATCAAGAACAGAGTAGGATGCACTGCACTGTTTAGTGTTAATCGAAGTTTATTCTGCGCGTTTGTTTGCTTAATCCCGAATTAATTCGAGGCCGGCTTGACTGGAAACGATCACTAATACAAAAAATTACAAACTATTTAAATGTATTTAGTACAAAGATTAGCTTGAGGTTTTAGTGGCTTTCTCTGCACTTGATTAGGGGAAGCGTGCAGCTAATCGGGTCGTGGCAGAGTAATACCGACGGAAGTGGCGGTAACTCTGAGGAGGCCACTGCTTCCCGCGCTTTTCGCCGGGCCATACGTGTACGTGGCACGATACGTAAAAGGGAAGGCACTATACGTTTAAATTTAAATTCAAAAATCTCGGCTTTAGTCGCCGTCATGTGGGGGCCCTATAGGTATCGATGCTTTTCCTCTTCGAGCATTTGCCGGCACAAAGAACTCAAATTCTTCTCTAACCTTTGACGTCCCATCTGATCTCGGATTATTAAACAAAATAACTAATCCAACTCGATATAGTACCAAACAACACTATATTTAGGTGAATTTTTTTCCTTACCATTATCAGTTTAATTATCACGTGTTTCTCTGATTAATACTAGTTGCTTGTGGAGTGTTTGAGTTGCAGGTACAATTTGAAAAAAATATATAAAACTAATCACGGTTTCAATGAACCCCGTGACGATATTGGGTCGGCTTCTCGATTTCCATGGGACAGCGATTTGTAAGCACTCGCACAATCTCACGCATTTAAATTAAATCGAAGTACTACTACTCACATATTCGGCACAAGTGGAGTACACACGGGATAATGACACCATTAGCAGCAAAGAGGATAATTAACCGGGAGTGATTAAATTAGCAGGCACGGGGATAATGATCGCGTCGGGGCGACGTGGCGCCGCCAGGTAAGCCCGCGGAGTGACACGTGGCAGGCTCCCCCGCCGTCCGAGTTGGCCACGCGGAGGGGGGAAGCGGCTGCCGACACACCGAGCTGGTGGGGGAGATGGGGAGGATACGTGGACGTCAGGGATGGGTCGGGAGGGCGTGATGGACGGCTGGGATTTGATGGGGTGTGGGTGCGGGACCCACCGGGGGTGTGGGATGTGGTGGGCCCGGGGCAAATGGGAATGTGAGCCTTGTGACGGCCTCGTGACGTGTCGTCGTTTTCGGGAGTCACAGGTGACCTGAAGGGGAAGTGGGGCCCGCTTTTTTGGTTCGTGCTGCCGCGAAGCCGACTGTCAAAAGCGAGATTAGCGAACAATGACGTCTGGATAAAGGAGATTAGTGACAGTGGCTCAGGTGCAGATAACAGAGTCATCTTTTACGCCCCTCGAATATTATCCCAGAAATTTTGTCTTGATCCTAAGATTTGGTGACAAGATTTATGTGATTTCTCTGCGACTGGAAGAGTCTCGTGTACACCATCCGTTTCAAAAATAAATATATCAATCCTAACTACGAATCTGGATATATGTGTGTTTAGATTCGTAGACAGAGTTTGTCTTTTTTTTCTTTACATTTATGATTCGATGGAGTATATATGTTCCATTCTTTTGAATTGATGGTTGTCAGGGGGTAAAAACGGTTACATAAATTTCCAACCGACACTCAATTTCAATTTCTACTAACCAATGAAACGGTAACTGATAAAACGAAAATGAAAATGGTATAGGAAACAAATAAACAGGGAAACGATTTTGATGTTATATCAACCATCCAAGATGACTTTATCTAGTACAGGATGAGCGATGGGGAGCGATGGAGTACAGTGCCGCCCTAACCTACAACACGTTCTTTGATACTCCTTGCCATACGCCAAGTTCTTTTCGCACAGCGCTAGTCTCACGAAGTGCAAGTTTTTCCTCTGGCTTGCACTTCAGCGGCGGTGTTGGTCGTTGGATAGCCGATCAAATGTGCAGCCGCGAAATGGACAGTCACACCATGTACCCTATGTGTGCGTAGGAGCTAGAAACGTGTCACCATATCTTTGTAGAGTGCATCCTCATGCGATAAAGTTGGCACAAGTTGCTACCAAAATTGGGTTGGTCTCCCTCTCACCCTGCCGACAAACTTCACTTCAAGTTTAGTGGGAGTCTTCTCACCGGCAACTGCAAGATCACAGTAGGAAGGGGGGTTCGATTTCCTCGCCCTCATTGTTACCTAGCCCCTGTGGCTAAAGAGAAACACTTGCATCTTCGAGGGGATTCTTTTCACGATGGAGACAATGGGTAATCTCATCGAGCTAGGAGGGAAGCTATGGGTTACAGTGATGTCTAATCTCCTAGGAGTTCTTCTTGGCACTTAGACTTATACTCTTTCTCCTTTTTCCTTCTTATTTTCAGGAGTCCAGTTGTCTTTCCTAGTTAGTCTAGTGTACCTTCCCTCCCCCCTCTAACCTCCCATGACCTACTTTAGTAGGTCGAGTTATAAAATATCTTTTTCACTGCTAAAATTCGTTAGTAGGTTCGCGTAGAGGATCTCGGAGTACTCAGGCAGCGCGGAGAGCGGCGCCTGGATGAAGTTGGACGCCGAGAAGTGCACGCCATGCCTCCTCCACGCCGTCGCGGCTGCGGGCGGTAGCATGGGTAACTACTGCACCTGCTACTATTGTTGCTGGACCTGCGCTCCTCGTGGCGCTCGGCACCCTCTTGTTGCTTGCCGTTGGAGGCTTGGACAACCGCCACGCTGGCCTCAGCCTCACCGCGCTTCCGCATGATAGGATGAGAGAGCTAGTCGGTCCAGTTGGAGAATGTTGTCGGCAATGGGGGCAAAGGGTGTGAAGACGAGGAATGATGTGAGAAGAGCGGTGGCGAAGGAGCCTCCATGCCAACGAGCTTCTCCCCGTGCGCGTGCAGTCGGCCGGCTGGCAAGCTCTTCCCTGTGCACTGTCGCCACCGCCCTTGCTCTGTGTTGATGGAAGGTGAGAGAAGATGAAGAGTTGAAAGAGAGAGAGAAGGGAAAGGTGAGGTTACGGAGAAGATGGGATGAGGTGGAGGCCGTTGATAAGTGGGTCCCACCTGATGACTTAGCGAGTCAACTACCACGTCAGACAAAACCGCCCGTGTAGTCGATTTGCAGCGGGTCTGGAAGTTAGAGGACGGGTATACCCGGTTTTGCGGTTGAGGGATGCGATTCAACCAGGGACATGAGTTAAGGGAGGAATAGTAAACTTATTACTTATGACTCATCACTGTCTATAAGAGCCGAAACACCGGCCTGACGGCCCATGAATCTAGGCCTCATAATGGGCCTAACAAAAATTAGTTTCCCTAATTTTCCAATAACCACTCCTTTTTTTCTTGCTTTACGGGGAGAAATGAGGAAATGACGCATCTGCTGATGTTATACAACCGGCGGCGGGTCGTTCGTACTAGTAGCCACAAAAAAGCGCCTCCATGACCTCAAAGCGTAAACCACTAAACCACGTCTCCCTCCCACATACAGCCACTAATGCGCTTTCCTGAATGTAAAAAATGTTCCTTTCAAAACTCCACCTTTAATTAATTTCGTGATGCAATTTCCTCCCCCCTTAATTATCCTTCTCACTTCGTGTCATGTCACGTCAAAACGAACCCTTTTTAACGAACCTTTTTTTTCTTCACAAATACATTTCTTTGCACTTTTTTTTTGTTAGAGAGATATGTAATCTCATACACGTCCTTAATTACACGAGCTGGCAAAAAAAAAAAAACTGGAATCGATGGAAGATGATATGATGAGTGAGCATCAATGTGGATGCATGTATGTATAGCTGCTGGAAGGAAAATAAAGGCGATGCCCTGCACAGCGGATGGATGCATGCATGCCCTTTTTCTGAACTGCATCTTCACGAGACATCCTTGAGCAGATTGCCACTTTAATCCTTTCTAGCTTATCTCTAGAGTCAACAGCTAAATCCAGCGTCGTCGCCGTCGTCGTCGTCGACTCGTCATCGTCGTCGTCGTTGTTGTTTCAGCTTGCTTCTCAACACTACGAAAGCATCGTCTCCTTTCTTTTGCGCTTTCTTGCCATTTTGTGTCGATCGATCCGCCAAGAAAAGCAGCGGCCGAGCTGACAGGTGAGTGGCATCCATGGTGGATTTGGTAGGGTAGGGTTGGGAGATGGGGATCTGAGCTTTGCTTTTGGATTGTGCGCAAGTACGTACGTGTCGGCGTGGATATACCTTGCTTTGCATCGAGGAGGAGGTGTTTGGTTGATTCCGGCGTGGTGAGCAATGCGCGTGGCGCGGCGGCGAGTGGTCGCCGGCGTGTCGCTGCGCCGCCGACGTCCGCCGGCCACCGGCATGCTGTGCGAGTCTTGATCGGTGTCGGTCGAGAGAGAGGGGGTAGCTTGTAGCTCTCATGCTTTCTTGCTTCCGGCTGCCGCGGCCGCCGGGCGGGGAGACGAACCAGGCGGCGGCGGCGTCGGCGTCGCCGAGGCGGCCGTCGCTGCCGTTCGCGTCGAGCCTGTTCGCGGGGTCGCCGTCGACGTCGGGGAAGCAGCCGTGGCTGGCGGACGCGGACGACATGGAGAAGAAGCGGTGGGACAGCATGGAGTCGTGGTCGATGCTGCTGGACACGGCCATGGGGCCCTCCGGCGAGCCGACGTCGAGCCGCGACAGCGGGCGGCGGGAGGAGTGGATGGCCGACCTCTCCCACCTCTTCATCGGCAACAAGTTCGCCTCCGGCGCCAACAGCCGCATCTACCGCGGCATCTACAAGCAGCGCGCCGTCGCCGTCAAGATGGTCCGCATCCCCGAGCGCGACGAGGCCCGCCGCGCCGTCCTCGAGGACCAGTTCAACTCCGAGGTCGCCTTCCTCTCCCGCCTCTACCACCCCAACATCGTCCAGGTCAGCTTTCTTTTCCCATACACCCGCCAAGTGTTCGTCCGGTGGCGAGCTTTCTTTTGCCTTACACCACGCCCGCCAAGTGTTCGTCCGGTGGTGGCGAGCTCTCTTTTGCCTTACACCACACCCGCTAAGTGTTCGACCGGTGGCGAGCAGTTCATCGCGGCGTGCAAGAAGCCGCCGGTGTACTGCATCATCACGGAGTACATGTCGCAGGGGACGCTGAGGATGTACCTGAACAAGAAGGACCCATACTCGCTGTCGTCGGAGACGATACTGAAGCTGGCGCTGGACATCTCGCGGGGGATGGAGTACCTGCACGCGCAGGGGGTGATCCACCGGGACCTCAAGTCGCAGAACCTCCTCCTCAACGACGAGATGCGCGTCAAGGTCGCCGACTTCGGCACGTCCTGCCTGGAGACGGCGTGCCAGGCCACCAAGGGCAACAAGGGCACCTACCGATGGATGGCGCCGGAGATGACCAAGGAGAAGCCCTACACCCGCAAGGTCGACGTCTACAGCTTCGGCATCGTCCTCTGGGAGCTCACCACCTGCCTCCTCCCCTTCCAGGGCATGACCCCCGTCCAAGCCGCCTACGCCGCCTCCGAGAAGGTCATCATAAAAAATTTTACCATCTTTGAGAAATGAGATTTGCTCCGATCCAACAAAAAAGTACCTCCAGATACCGGTACCTCACGATACCAAATCGTTTCCGACCGTTGGATCTAGCTAGCAAACGATTTAGTATCGTGAGGTACCGATACCTCGAGGTACTTTTTGCTGGACCGGAGCAAATCTCGAAAATGAGAAATACCAAAATTTTTAGCGTAAAATTTGGTATCTCATAGTACTAAAGGTATCAAATTTTACATTGGAAAATGTGATACTGTTCGAATCACTTACTTCATAATCACTATCAACCTCTTCTTGGTTTCTTGCTTTGGTTTTCATCAGGATGGATTTCTGAATCATTTCTTTCTTGTTCATGTGATGTTTGTTTGTGAGCAGAATCTGCGGCCGCCGTTGTCGACCTCGTGCTCTCCGGTGCTGAACAACCTGATCAAGAGGTGCTGGTCGGCGAACCCGGCGAGGCGGCCGGAGTTCAGCTACATCGTGTCGGTGCTGGAGAAGTACGACCACTGCGTGAAGGAAGGGATGCCGATCATGGCGCACCAGGAGCTCAGGATCTGGAGCTCCTTCGCCAAGATCTTCAGGATGGGCTGCATCACCAACAACTTGTCCATACCGGTGCATGCTTGATTCGATCAAAATACTCACCATACGTATATACTGGAGTAGTATTAATTATACATGTATGTTGAATTAATCTCTGATTAAGATAAACACACATGCTGATGTAACCTTGCTACTCAAGACCTCTGTTTGTGCTTTGCATGACAAGTATCTGAAGTCCGAACTGAATGGCATGAATGATGGACCAAATGTACCTCAAATGTGTAAATTTTTATCTCCCTCTCTTTAAAACCACCCAAAGAATTGATCATCATCACATTGGAACGGTGTACAAGTTAGATCGTCCTCGACGAAAACCTATCTACGACGGGCGGTCATCGACACAGAGACCATAGTACATTTGATCTGAATGTCTGAATATTTTTTGTACATCCACATTGGATGTGTGAATATTGTGCATTCAAGAGAGGAGCTCCCTCAAGCAGATCTGCAGAGTGGAATTGGCGAAGAACCGGTTCACCTTCTCTGTCGGATGGAAGGAGTCCCAGAAGAAGTACTTGTCGGCGTCGGGGCATGTCAGGGGGTTCTTCTCGTTGCAGAGGTAGCTCATCTCGAACATCCCCGTCGCGCAGCACCCCTGCTCTACGTTCTCCAGCCCTGTCATTTGCATCACAGTTTGAGAAACTTTGTCATACATTCTGAAGCTGAATTCAGTGATCTGTTCGTGTGGAAATAAACTGTTCTTGACGTGCATTGTGATGCTGAATTCAGTGAGTTGTTCGTGTGGAAATTAACTGTACTTTGTCGTACATGCAACAGTTCTGAGCATTTTTTTTGTCAGATTTTTCATAGGATTGATTACTGCCACAGATTATCTATTCGATTATGTGGATAAATTAAATGTTTCGAGAAATAAACTTAATAAATAGTTTAAAATAAGTGTTTTAAAAAGCAATGCAGTAAAAAAATGTTCTCAAAGAAATCAAATTTTACCAGCGTACGTGAAACAAATAATCTGCGATAATAATCCGGTGAAGAAGCTGAAAAGAACAGCGCCAAATATATATAGCTCACCAAGTGTGGAAGGATTGTTGATGAGGTTGAGCATGTCGTCGTAGACGGGGACGTAGGCGATCTTGAGGCCGGGGAGCGAGCTCTGGAGGCCGGCGATCATGGCGTTGAGCTTGACGTTGTAGTCCCTGGCCACCTGGTTGTACTCCTCGACGCAGCCGCCGCGGAGGGCGTTGAGCGTGCGCTCCAGCGGCAGGCAGCCGATGGCGCTGAGGCCGGCGAAGGCGACGCGGCGCGCGCCGAGGCGGTGGATGGCGGCGAGGAACCCCGCCGCCTGCGCGACGAGGAAGTCCTCGAACTCGCCCACGGTGAACTGCTTGAACCGCCCCGTGACGAGGAGGAAGTAGTTCTCCAGGAAGTCGTTGGTGCCGATGCTGACGACGTAGAGCGCGTCGCGGACGATCCGCCGCGCCGCCGCGCGCCCGGCGTGCCGCCGGAGCCGACGCTGGTACTCCTTGAAGTACTCCACCTCCTTCCACAGCGGGATCACTGCCTTCAACCACACAAAGAATGAGTTCACTTGTCATGTCAGTGTTGACCGTTGAGAATTACTATTCCATCCATCTCGGAATATAAAACTTCTAACGTTCAAGTTTTGTCCCAAAATATAACAACTTCTTTACCAACATTCTCTCTCAACCAATCACATTTTTTTCTATTTAATTCTATCTACCTTCTTAATACCCGTGTGCTATACCTTCTTAACTTTTTATCATACATTTTACCATTCATATTTAAAAAAAATACATAATTATAATTTGTTTTTGTTATGAGTTATTTTATCACTCAAAGTATTTTAAGCATGATTTATATTTTATACATTTACATAAAATTTTTAAATAAGATGAATAGTCAAACATGTGTTTAAAAATCAACGGCGACATCTATTAAAAAGGGTGGAGTATTATTTTTGCAATGCAGTTATGCTCATTTTATTTTTTTTTTGTGAATTTTAGTCCTATAGATGTCAGAGATTTTTTATTCACTAATATATCAAGATGTCTAATATTTGGCCATGCAGAGCCAGGGGTGTGTTATACTTTTCAGTTATCCAAAAATCTAATGAAATGCAAAGAATGAAGAGAGTTCTTGCAATTTAATCATAGAAGATCTTGGGCTGGTTTGGTTTGAGGCCTAAATTTGGCTTACCAATATTTGGCAATTTTAATAGTGTTTAGTGTCTATTTGGTTTGAAGCCAAATTTTGGCATGCCTATGAAAATATACCATTTCAATAGTTAACTTAGGCTATTTTAGCTTCAATCCAAATACAACTTTGCCTTCCCAAAATTTGTCATGCCAAAACTTGCCAAAATTTGGCATTGCCAAAAATTGGTAAGGCCAATTTAGGTCGCAAACCAAACTGGCCCCTTGAATCCAAATGCGGTCAGTGAATGAAATGTTCTAGAAGCCTAATCTCTGAAGTCTGAACATTGAACAGTGGTACCAGTCCTTCTGAGTACTAGTAGATGCTGAGGTTCAATGGCTCTGAATCTGTACTGTGCATTGTTCCATTCAATTGGCAGATCACTTCCGGTGGTTGGTAGATCATGGCCCAAATTACTCCTACACAAGAACACCTTTTCTGGGCAACCAAATTTTGTTGAAAAGGGAGAGTTAATTCTAGGAAAACTAGCTGGGCACCACCTTAAATAAGTGCTACATCAGCCAACAACTGTCATCAACTTAGCAATTGTGCCGAGCATAAATGTGTGTCTCTTGAACATATGAACATTGATTTTGGACAGATGAAGGAAATGAAAAAGGGGAAAGGTTGAGAAGGAAAGAAGATGTATGCACATTCAAACGAAAGCTACTCACTAGGTTCAAATGAAGTGATTAATGGAAGTTTTCTGATGAAAAACTGTACCATGATAAATCCAATGCACCGAACATGAGCTCCTCTAGAGCAGGGAAGAACACAGTGATCTTGCTACCGGTAGTTGAACCAACCGTTCGAATAAATCTCAAGAACACCAGAGTTTCTGAAGAATTATAGCCTAGAAAGCATGTGCAGTGGTGCACACACAGCGACTCCAAGCACTAAGTGCAAAAGGTTTTAATGCCCCTACAGTTTGGCACCGGAATGTGCCACCTCGCGGAACTCTAATCCTGAATCAACAACCACCAGACAATAATTTGCACCATCTAATCAGGTTTACAGAAGAACATTCGGCAAGTTCGAATTAGAGACAGTTTGTACACTACCAAATAACCTTGATAAGTTGAGCGCTACCAAATTTGCTAGATAGAGTTGGTACTAGTGTCTAGTGTGTGTAAAGATTGGTATTAAACCAAACATTAATGTGGTTCTGTTAAAGTTGTTAAAAAAATTGGTAGAACAAAAAATGGCTCCAATCTAAATGAGCCCATTATTTGAAATACTGCCTTCAATTCATGAATTGAAGGAGCCACACCAGGTTAACAAAAATGACCCCTTTTTTTACAAGTTAAATGAGCCCACTTTGAAGTTGACTTAAAAGTTATAGTTTTTACCAATTTTTGTTTGGTTTTGGGCAAACCGGTGGAAGGACTTTTCAGAGGTGTAAAGTTTTGGTGTGTCACATCGGGTATTGTATAGGGTATTGCATGGGATATTCGGGCACGAATAAAAAACTAATTACAGAGTCTATCAGTAAACCGCTAGATGAATTTATTAAACCTAATTAATCTATCATTAGCAAATGTTTACTGTATCACCACATTGTCAAATCATAGAGCAATTAGCCTTAAAAGATTCATCTCGCAAATTAGTCGCAATATGTATAATTAGTTTTTTTAACCTATATTTAATACTTTATCGCAAGGTGAAGTGGTAAACCTGAAATCCTGAATCGCACTGTCAGACTCTTGGCTTGGTGGTGCTATATTTTCTACTCTCCTCCCGTGCTATCTTCCAATTTTCTACCGGTGTCCTGCTAGCCATAGTAAAAAGAGCAAAACAGTTTTGACTGGTTGTTGGCTTGTTACTAGACGGGACACTACTGCACATAGCTCACGGGATCTCTTCTGCGAGTACCTGATTGCTTTCCTTGTCATCTCGGCACGCCGCAACAAAAGTCTATGGCTGCAAGCTTTGCCGTTGTCAGATGTGTGCCTCCAAAAAGACCATATCGAGATGACAGTACATGTCCCCCATCCGCTTGCAAACATATTGATTTGAGTTTTTGTTTTCTCACTGATTTTGGAAAAATATTCTGTGAAAGCCACATTTACAGTGAAAACTTACGAACTATCGTATGATAGAAAATAAACGTCTAAAATTTGTACAAATCTTATAATCTATTTTAATATCTTACTATAGTTTTCAGATTTATATTACATTTGTGATTATATTACATATTTTTCCATGAAAATTTGATGCGATGCGAAATACTTCCTCCGTTTCATAATGTAAGTCATTCTATCATTTCCCACATTCATATTGATGGTAATGAATCTAGATAGATATATATGTCTAGATCCATTAACATCAATATGAATGTGAGAAATACTAGAATGACTTACATTGTTAAACAGAGGGAGTAATAGTTACTACTCCGTCCGTCCATAATCTGAACATGAGATGTCCAGATTCGTAGTACTATAATGTATCACGTTTCTTTAAAATCTCTTATATTTTAGAACGGATAAAGTAGTATGTTATCTTAAAGTGATCACTCCCTATTTTTTAGAGCAATAAGAAATAATTAAGGCCATGTCTCTTGGATGTACGTCTCTATTATTGTGTCTTTTGTGCTTCAATTGGATGGGGCACAGATGATGAATGATGTGCCCCCCACTATGCCTGGATCACAGTACTAAAAGAGTACGAGCGCAATCGTGCACAACGAACACTGCCCCCCACCTTTTCACCGACTAGAACTCAAAATCGAAATTCAGCGAGGCTATGTTGATTTTGGCTAAAATTCATTCAAAATCTTATACTGTGTGGTCCAATCTCAACTGAAAGGCGAATTTTCTATTAAATATTTCTGAAATACAACTGGCAGTTGTTCTGCCGGTCTATAGTTTGAAAATAGGAGAACGTGACACTTGTCCTTAGGGACCGGGCTAGCGGTAGTCACATGACCAAATTCTAACGTCGTACGGTCAGAAATTACTAGAAAATCCCCGAAAAAAAAAGAAATTACTAGAAAATTTAATGGAGTAAGAAAAATGGGTAAAAATTTCCACAACAAGGAATTAACACATACTCCCTTAGTTAACTACAACTAATCTGACATACTCAGTGATTCGTTTGTATTAGACTGTGTTGTATTCTAGTATTAGAACGTGTCATATCTAGTATGAGATTGTTTTTTACCGACGGAGTATCTTCAGCTCTCATATACTATATACTCTAGCTCGGTGAAAACCTTGTAATTATTAATTAGCGTAAGATTATTTTACAGTTTAGTATACTACTCTCTCCGTCCTATAAAAATTAAATTTTTACCTTTAAACCTTTGTCCCATAAAAATTATATTTCTACTGATGTGGGACCCATTAAACTGATTACATTTTCGTGTAATCTTCTTTCCTTCCATCCATATCTAACCATTGTCTCAACATTCCTTTTAATCAAGTTTATATATGGAATATGTGCATGTACTGTGTTTATTAATTAGGGTTATTGTAGTCATTTGTATATCCTTATAATATGTCCTTAATTTCTTATAAATTCAATTTTTATAGCACGGAGATAGTAATTACTAGTGCGAGCTTAGTGAGACAACGAGTATAGGTTGCAATGTGCGCTGGGTAGGGGCGTTGCGTACCAGGACGCCGGCGGTGGCGTTGTCGAGGCCGGTGCCGGCGGAGGCGAAGCAGACGCCGCGGGCGAAGTCGGCGATGCCGTAGGCCGGGTCGAGGTACGCCGGCACGAGCGGCGGCAGGCCGAGCGCCTCCGACATGAAGTCCGGCGGCAGCCGCCCGTTGCAGAACCGCCCCGTGGCGGCGCCCAGGTCCCGCCCGTACGGCGGGAAGTTGCTCTTCAGCATCGTCGCCACCACGTTATTGTTCCCCGTGTCCACCGTCGAGTCCCCGAACACGATCACCGCCGGCACCTTCGCCGCCGCCGCCGCCGCCACCTTCTTAGGCGCCGCCGCCATCTTCTTCGCCGCAGGCAACCACGCCGACTCGCGTTCGCGGGCCTCCACGCCGCCGGCGAACGCGGCCAGAACAAGAAGCGCCGCCGACGCCGCCGCCGCCGCGGCGAGCGCCGCCGTCGACGACGACATCGTCGAGCACTCTGAGGTGGTGCGGGGGAGTGTGTGGTGTGGGTGTACGTGCTCGCGCGCGGCGCGCCATTAAATACAGAGGCGAGGCGAGGTGGTGGGGCCACGAAGACAGAGGGGGTGACGTGCGTGCGGTGTACGGTGTACAGTATACAGTAGAGTGGCTGCGTGTACCCTACACTGTGACGTGTGTAAACTGGTTGAGATGGCTTTTCAAGGTTGCATCGAGGGGCGCATGATCGCTCTCGCTTTGTTAGATGATGCGAAAAATTATCGATGTTAGTTGGGAAAGTGGTATGTTTGGCATGGTAATATTGAACTCATGTACTTTACATCATAAATGTGTTACGATTTTCACGATAATAATAACTAGAGTAAGGTTATATTTAGTTCACACTAAAATTGAAAGTTTGGTTGTAATTGGAACGATGCGACAGAAAAGTTGGAAGTTTGTGTGTGTAGGAAAGTTTTGACGTGATGGAAAAGTTGGAAGTTTAGAAAAAAAAAACTTTAAAACTAAACACGGCGTAAAACAGATGACAACTATATTAAAGAAGGACACGGTGCACATAATAGTTACGCGGCATAGTAGGTAGCTATACTATTGTGACAATATCTTATTCTATTGTGTGGTAAAACATAATGTTGTTGGAGCTAAATCTAATTAATCTATTTTAAGTCTTAGCCTAAACATGATCACTTCTGTTTAATGCAGAAATTGTTGATTCGCTGCCTAAGGATGAAGCCATTGAAACCACTTGTTGATTTCTTTCCTTTCATTCTTCTCCTTTCGCCTTTCTCTGTTTCTTCTTCTTCCTTCTTATGTTTCCTTCTTCATCTTGCATGAGATGCCTCATGAGTCCCTTTCAGCATCAAAATCGATAAGGAGATTAGTTTATGGCTTTAGGGTTAGAGAGAGTTCGGGTTTTCCCTCTGCCTATTTTCTTCTTTCCTTTTTGTTGCGATACTGGTGGGGCTCGGAGTTTATCTCCAATTTAAATTAGAATCTATTTGGTACCAATCACAAAAAAAAACATATATAATTTATCTTTTAATTTGTTTCATGTTAGGAAAGAAAACCGGTAACATTGTATCCCTTCCCTAATCTTATCGGTAGTAAACCAGCAAATCAACCAACAAATGTAGCGTCTCTATTGTTTTGACGTAGATTACAAACAATGGTAGTATATTGTCTCTGCATTGTGATGGTTTTTAAGAGAGATGTGATATTATTGTGTAAAATGTCAAAATCAAACTAAATCAAATTACATTATTTTTTTAAAAAAAAATGGTATATCGAAAAGATATTTGCAGTAGCCTTGAGGATACAACTAACTGTGTCTAGTTTTACTAAATCTTTGCTGAAATTTTTTAAGGCTCTGGCGCTCTGCTAAAGTTTTGCTCCAACGTCAACTTAGTCATTGGCATAACATTTTTATCAAAATTTGTTTTATGGCCTATCAGATCTACACAAAACGTCATACATGTGGATGCGATGTCCCACCAAACATCTAACTTTCCCATAATCCATGAGATTACGAAAATATTGGTCAAAGGACTTATATTAGGCCACTCGAGAAAATGGAAGCACATGCCATTTGAACAAAACAGAACGTCAGCAACCAAATTGAGCATAAAGCCAAACATAAAATGACTAATCTCCCAAAATAAAGTAGACTAATCAATCATTAAACAGTTGTAACATATTCATGGGAAAGTTCACTTCACTTAATTATTTTTCCCTATACAAATGTGAGTACTACATACTATTTTCATGGCACATGCTTCGATTGAATCTTTAATGTTCTAGAGAAGTCCTAACTGAATAGATCCAATGTACTCTTGCCTACAGTATATGCTCATAGTAGAGACCATGGATGTGATTTCCATATGTCCGTGGTCATATGGTACTACATATGATTTCCTGTAATAAAGGATACACATGCTCATGGGCCATCCATCCAACAACACTGACCTTGATGACCACACACTGCGCGTCTGCGCCCACACAAAGCTCTCTTCTCTCCTTCATATGCATGTGACAAATGACTGACAAGAGCTTCAATTTGTCAAACATCATGGATGGATTATTTCTTCTTCATCTTAAATTAGCAACCTAAAATCAGATTGGATATTTATTATTATTATGAATCTAAACAAATTAAAAAAATATTCAAACCGGTTTAAAATTATTTTCAGGTGGATGTAACACATCCGTCTATCCAGATTCATTGTAATAGGATGTGTTACATTCACCCAAAATCCCTTATATTATAAGACGGAGGGAGTATATTTTGAGATGAATGCAATACTAAGGGTGTGTTTAGTTCTTTGGGTTTAAAGTTTTTGAAGTATACGGACACACATTTGAAGTATTAAACGTAGACTAATAACAAAACAAATTATAGATTCCGCATGTAAACCGCGAGACGAATTTATTAAGCCTAATTAATCTGTCATTAGTAAATGTTTACTGTAGCATCACATTGTCAAATCATGGCGTAATTAGACTCAAAAGATTCGTCTCGCAATTTACATACAAACTGTGCAATTGGTTTTTTTTTCATCCACATTTAATGCTCCATGCATGTGTCTAAACATTTGATATAACTTTTTTTGCCAAAAGTTTTTTTTAATCTAAATAAGGCCTAACTAAATCAAATCTCTGCATGATCAATCGGTGTCAAATCAAAGTTGATCGACTGATCAATTGCTTCAACGTTGATCCGACTGCAGTCGATCGCTTTCCTGCGCCTTACTTCGCATTAACCGATTTTTTTTCCCCCGACAGATCGATCAAATCCACATGCATCACACACATCACCATCAGTATTACTAGTATCTCCTTGATCAATCTGTCAACGAGATAGAATATCGTGTGCGACAACTCATTGGACGTCTACGTACATACTAGGTTGGAAATTAAACCATACTAGTACTAACTAGGATCATGCAGCATGCATGCGTGCAGAATCAGTGGGTTGATGGTTAAGTGGCGCCAACTGCCGGACATAAAGGTTGTTTTATTTGGTTTCGTATCGCCATCGCTGCTTTATTGTGTGCAGTTAGCCGCGATCCAGGTGACACCAGCGAGCGACGGCACATATATGCAGAGGCTGCAGGTAGGCAGAGCGACGTACTGGTACGATCGACATGCGTGGTCATGCCAGCATGCATCTTAATGGGTGATGGCTAGCTTAGCTAGCTTCACAGAGACACAGAGTTTGTACTCTTATCTTTTCTGTCTGATTGTTCTGATATTCTCTTTTTTTTTATGAAATTGGTTAGCAGGTTAAGATGATGAAATTAAGTGATCTGTTTGGGGAGTGTCAAGGAGCCGTAGCTTCCCCTGGAATCCCAACTCTTTCAAACAGATTCTCACATAAATGCTAAAAATATATTTGATAAGGTTTCAACTTTTAAATTTAACTTCAAGAGTATTCAAGAATGTCAAGGAGCCGTAACTTTAATTCCTCAGAATCCCCAACTCTGTGAAACATATAGATTCTCATATATAACTTCTAAGAATATGTTTGATAAGATTTCAACTCCTAAATTTAACTTTAAGAGTCTTCTAAGTATAGATTCTCATATAACTTCTAAGAATATGTTTGATAAGGTTCCAACGTCTAAACCAACTTCATCTCTCTGGTTTATTTTGTGAGAGTACTTTGAAGTTCGAACTGCCAAACAAACCCATAATTCAGAAACTATTGAGTCCAGATTGATAACCTTTCCTAAACATGGACTAGACTGTGATTAGAAGCTAGAACCGAAATAACTTTCAAGCTAAAATTAGCTGCAGCAATGCAGGGAAGTGATCTGACGACCTCCCGTTCGCTAGCTTCTCCCCTGAAAACCAGGGCAGCCACCCAGAAATTCTCCTTCGCCATGCAGAGTTGCAGCCTTATAATCTCGCCGTCTCGCGTTGAATTTGGCTAACTTAGTGTAATAATCGCGCATCGATCGATCGAACAGCGAGCGGTGGTGGTGGTATATATGGCGGCGAGCGCGCAGACGTGGGTGGTGGTGGCGGCGCTGGCGCTGGTGATGCTGCCGCGGCGGCCGGCGGTGGTGGGGGCGGAGTCGGTGGCGGCGGCGACGGCGGAGAAGTCGATGGGGATCGGCGGCGCCGGGAAGCCCAAGTGCCAGCCGGGCGCCGCGACGGGGCCGTGCCGCGTCGGCGCGGTGCACGACCCGGAGAACTCGGAGGAGGAGGGGCTGTTCAGCATGAGGGCCACCCCGCCGCCGACCGCCGCGCCGCCGGCCGACGAGGACTACTTCGACCCCGACCTCTCCAACGACGACGACCTCGTCGTCCTCGGCCACTGAATTGAACGGCGTGTGGTTTGGTTGTGATCGATCGACTGATCGGCAATGGATCTCATCGGCTGGGTGCTAACTGTGGGGTTAATTTTGTGTGTGCTTGTTGTTTGATGAATTTATGATGAAGGTAACTGATTGTTTGTTGTTGATTATATGTTATGTGTACTAGTGGTACTAATTAGCTAGTGTTAATGGCTAATTGTGAGCTTCATACGATTATGTGATCGATTAATCATGCATCTGTGTTGTGGATTTGCCTAGTAAACCATCCTTGTTAGTCCTAAAGACAAAAATATACGAAGTTGGTCCAACAAAACGGCCTAAGGTAGGGCCCAATTGCAAAATATCCTTGAAATAGTCCATAGTATATCCCTCGACTATGGGTCGAGTTTAATTTGCCTCCCTTGTCTCAATTAATACATGTTCATTTTGCGTCCCCAAACGTTTACGATAGTGCTTTGTCTTATATGCACTACTAGAAAAAGCATTTTAGCATAAGTTGGAAGATTAATTTTCCAGCCGGATATGACCCTCGAAGCAAAATGGCCACCTAGGAAAATGTAAACTAGGGTGAAGCTCACCGTCCGCCTGCAAAAATATATACCTTTATTTTCGTAGGTGAACCTGAAAAAAAATATGATTTTTGCAGGCGGAACCATATGTGGTCCGCCTGCAAAACTCATGCCTCCCAAAAAAAATCTAGTCATCCTTATCTTCTCCTCCACCATCCTTATCCTCTCCTCTCCACCACTCATTTCCCTCCCCTCCTCTCTCTCTCTCTCTCTCACACACTTGGCAGAAAATCCTCCGCCTCCATCCCTCCTTCGCCGTCGGCTCCCTCCTCCCCGCCTCCGCCGCTAGCTCCCTCCTCGACGATGATGACGACCGCGACGCCGCCAGCTCCCCTCGGGCGTGACGGACGACCTTCGCGACGCCGTGAAGCTGCGGATCCACCAGCTCCCCTCCTCCCTCCTCCCTCCTCCCCGCCTCTACCACCAGCTCCCTTCCTCGCCGTCAGCTCCCTCCTCCCCACCTCCGCCGCCAGCTCCCTCCTCGACGACGACGACGACCTTCACAACGCTGCAAAGCTACGGATCCACCGGCTCCCCTCCTCCCCGCCTCCGCCGCCGGCTCCCCTCCTCGCCGTCGGCTCCCTCCTCCCCGCCGGCTCCCCTCGGCTGTGATGACGATGACATTCGCGACGCCGCGAAACTGTGGATCCACCGGCTCCCCTCCTCCCCACCTTCGCCGCCGACTCCCCTCCTTGTCGTCGACTCCCCTCCTTGCCGTCGACTCCCTCCTCCCTCCTCTCCACCGACGCGACGACGACGACTGCCGCCATCACGACGACTATCACGACCACGATGCGACCACGGCGTCGACGCGACGACGGCGCCGACGCTTGTGGGGGCTGCGGCGGACGAAGGAGGAAAGCCGTCGTCGGCCGGAGGGAGAGGCCGGCGGCGGTGGCGGTGCGTCTTTTTTTTTATTTGCCGAAATGTTCTTTGCAGGCGGGTGAATCTACCGCTTTCGAAAATGTCGTCCGCCTGCGAAAGTCATCTATTGTTGCATGCGTTTGCTTGCAGGCGGAATGCCCGTCCGCCTGAAAAGACAGATTTGGCCCGCATGCAAAAACCTTTTTTTCTAGTAGTGGTGGATGATGAGTGGGGCTACAAGTTGATCACACGAGAAGGAAGGACGAGAGAGAGAGGGATACTGAATGACATGGCAACAAGCTAGGACCCGATTGTCGATTCGCCCTCTTGCCCACGTCAAGCAGCGAGAACCTTGTTGACACTTTACCCTCCCACCCATGATCATCATCGTCACCGACTATATCCAATGCTTGCGCAGCCAGCTTCGAAGATAAGCAAGGCAAGCCAGCCGCCGATTTGGAGCTAAGCCGATCATCCCTAAGGCCATCGAGGGATGAGCTTGCGTTGTCGTCCTCTACCCAAGCACACGGCAGAGCTGGCCAAGACGAGAAGAGGATGGTGGTGGAGAAGGCAGGGATAGATCCAAAAAGAACTAATAGATGGGGCTGAACAAATTAACTATACAAAACTATACTCCGTAGTCACCTCTTCTAATGAATACATGACAAAATTTCAGTGAGAGTTTCATGGGGCTCTTATGATTGCAACGCCGGTAGTGGGGGGTTAAGATCCCATAGCCCAATGGTAGATCCACCCCTGGGAGAACAGATCCTTGTCTGCTCTCATCGACGCCTGGCTATTGGGCATGCAAAAGCGGTGCAGCAATGTGGCCGTCGTCGTCACGCGTGGCCGCTAGCCTTCCCGATGTTGGACCTACTAGCAGTGTTCCTCGGCCGATCAGCTCTGGACTCGTTGGCGGCAGCGGCACGGCGGTGACACCAGGTGCACGGCGGAGACGGTGACTCCGTCGCCAAGGCACGAGTAGGACCAAGCCAAGTGACCAGCCAACCACTAACGCGATAGGGCCGACGACGACAACGATCAAGAAGGGGAGGCGCATTGGGAGAGGAAGATAGCGGCACATTATATTGGTCAGAGTGGAAAACAAAAGCTCTCATTGCCAGTCACCCGCCAACGTTGTCACCTTCCCGTGGTTGGGCTGCCTAGCTCGAGAGTCGAGACTGCCTCCGTAACAAGCTCCTTGTCGAGAGAAATAAAAAAGGAGGAGAGAGTAGGAAGGGATGAAATATTTCACTGGGACCTACCATTTTTTTTAAAAAAAAAACAAACATGACTGGAATGCCACATAAGCATCACATTTGATGAAAACCGGATCAACGTGCCACGTAGGCCACATCAGCTGAAACCAATGTCAATACTTTCGAGGGATTTAATTTATGCTGCTTTTAGAAATTATGGATCTGATTTTACAGTTAATTGACACGAATGTAACTCGGGCCATAGTCAAGAGAACCTGAAGTGGACATTTTCCAAATAAGAATAAGTTCATCGGAGGTCCCTCAACTTAATAGCAAGATTTTTTAAGATCCCTTAACTACAAAACCATAAATATATACACTAAACTCACACAAACGGTGCACCCAAGGTCCTATGGCAGTATGTATCGGTGGTTTCGCTGACGTGGCATCCTAGTCAGCAAAGAGGGTATAAAAAATTTATGCGGCCCACATGTCATCCTCACTCCTCCCCTCTTCTCTCTATCCTCTCTCTTCAGCAGGGCAGGTGGAGCGGTGTCGGGTGCTCCGACGGCGCACCAAGCAGAGCGGAGAGGGGTGGCGGCGGTGGGGTGCGGAGGAGACCTAGGCAGGACAGCGAGAACGACGAAGACGTGGTGGGCGGAGCTCGCCTGCCGCTGCTACGCTCCTCCCCCGGCCACCTCCGCAGTTGCTGCTCCCTCCTCCACCCAACTCTACCTACCGGCTACGCTCCTCCTCCGGCGGCCGACGGAGCAAAGCGGGGGCGGCGGCTGGTGAAGGGGAAGGAGCCGCGGGTTGAGGCGAGGTGGGAGGCCGCCACGTTAGCTCCGGCAACGGCGACGGCATCGGCATCGTGGTGAGGGGTAGGCAGCTCGGGGTCAGGGGCTTTGACGACAGGCGGCTTGGGATCAGGATCAACGGAGAGGGATGGGGTGAAAAGGACCATCCCCTCGAAGAGTGAGTCCGCATAGCTGCTGACCCATGCATCATCGCCGCCGCCGTCGTCATGGGACGCCATCAGCGGCGAGGTGAGGTCTTGAGGGCCCGCTCTGCTAGCTGCACGCTCGCGGGTCTGCTCCGACCGCACGCTCACCTGTCGCACTCTCGCAGATGCTCCACCGCCGAAGAGAAAGAGAGAGAAGGGAGAGAGGGAGGATGAAGAAGGAAGGTGAGACCTTATTTTTTATTTCTAATGCCACCTAAGCGTTACGTCAACGCCACGTGGAAAGAAGACCGAATCAATACTGGGCAGTAGGCGTCACGTTAGCGAAACCGCCCTCCAAAACCTCCAAGGAGTCAAATTGCAGTGGTTTTAAGAGTTGGGTAGTCGAGATATCCGGTTTTGTAGTTTAGAGTCACGGATTAGATTTCGATCACTTTCGAGGGTCATGAAGTGAACTTATTTCGCTACAAAATACTCGCGGCCCATCTATAAAATACTCGAGTACTAGCTATCATGTGCTATTATGGACCAGCATGGGCTCTAGGAGGGCTTTGATGGGAAACTCTCGCGAGCTCCCCAACCCAACCGGCCGTCCGACGGAGTCCTTCGCGCATCGCGCGCGCGAAAGCCGAGCCGCGCACGCGCGCGCGGGGAGGTCGGGAGCGTGTCGCCGGTGCGCGCGCGCCGCGGCGCGCGGAGCGGAGCGGCACGCGCGGCCGGGGAAACGGCGTGATCGATCCCGCGAATCGCGTCGTGGTGGTGGGCGCCGCGCGTCGTACGCGAGCCGGGGGGGCGATAACGTACGGTGGGATCAAAGGGATTAACTACTAAACGTTCATAAGTATAGTTAAGTTTCTTTTTCACGATCCACACTACATTTATGTTAAATTATAATGGTTTAATAATATTTTATATTCCATTTAAAATAGAGAAAAAAATTATAATCTAAATGTTATCAGCATAACTGTTAATTTAACTGTTAATTTAGATTCATAGATTTGTTAAGTGAGAAATGCCCAGCTAAAAAATCCTAGACACGGAGCTATGCCAAATAGAGTTAGTGTGCACGTGTGCGTAAATGCATTCGAAAATAGCATAGAGCTATGTTCTTTGAACAACTTTCCCAACTTCATTTTATCGTTTTCTACGCGCACACTTTTCAAACTATTAAAATGTATATTTTTTCAAAAAAGTTTCTATATAAAAGTTATTTTAAAAAATCATATTAATCTATTTTTAAGTTTTTTAGCTAATACTCTCATGTGCTAATAAGATATCTCGTTTTCTGTGTGAAGGAAATTTGTTCCCAACACAAGGAAACGAACACAGCCGTCAGCTTCTTGCATGCTTATTTAATTAGGTTATGGTATATTTTGATGGAAGAATTTTGTAAGCTTCAGAAACCACTCTCTAGCCTGTGTGGTGCGCATGGCCATAAAAAAAAGAATCATATTTTCTGAGTTGTACACATGAGAATTAACTCCATGATCCGGCTCTCTCCATGCTTGAGGTGGGAAAAAAATGGGCGAAACGTTAAAAAAAAAAGTGACCCGAAACGAAAAGGCTAGCTAGCTTTTATATATATATATATATATATATATATATATATATATATATATATATATATATATATATATATATATATATAATTACACAATATAACACAAAC